CATAATCCATCACCTTATTCAAAATGAGTTATGTGGGCTCATGACTTCCTATCCGCGGACCACAAATCAATGCGTGCTCCTTGAACAGTGACTTATTTTTGTTGGTCTCCATCCATTTCGACGAACTTCACATCTATGACCATCCACTAGGGGCCTTCAGCCCCTATTCAACCTTTTTACAGCGATTTTGCTGCAGAACATACCACTGCTTAATTCATCACGACCATTAGGCTGCAAAGAGACGACCGTGTGGTGGGTCTAGCTGTATCGACAAACTGTAATAGCTCAGGTTGTTGCGCATGCGGCAAAACATATTCCGCTGACTTCTGCGTCCAGGACTTGGTAGTTTTTAGGATTGGACAGAGTCACAGTGACAGACAATCAAAGGTAAAGTCGAAAGTCCCCTGTTTACTCGCTTTGCATTTTTATTGCCGTACTCCTTTTGTTGGAACAGTTGTCATCTTCATCTACTTATTAGCATTCTCGGCAAAAGTGGGCTGCCCCCCAAATTGGAAGGTCTCCGAAGTGCTTCGGGTATAGCCTCACTGCAGTCACTGACCACGTAATTCTCAGTAGTTACCAGGGCCGAAGCTATGAGTCGTCAAAACGTGATGAGGATAACACGTGGCATGGGTTAAGTAATGGCAGACTAGAAAGACAACTGATGACGGCATACAAGGAAAAAGCAGCTGGACAACATGAGGTGGCAGACCTGATGTTGGAGGCTTATAAAAGCCATCTTTAACTATGAAAAACCCAAGAGTGGCTGAGGCCTATGGATGCGCGATGACACAGCACGACAACAATGGGTGCTTGATGACCAGCGCAGCAATCTCTAACCTCCTCTATGCCAGCCGTTTTACCACGGCTAGCGAAGAACGTAGACGCAAAGGGGGGAAGGCAGTGAGAGGATATGGCACAGGTAAAGTAGTGATGGACAAAGATAACGCAGAAATGCTTAACATGGGATGGCAGGCCTCACGGTGGGGACTGATGGAAATCACCCTTATTTGGGGCGGTTGGACCCAACACGCGCCTTCCCTTCCCTTAGGACTATAGTAACTACCTTCCCCTGACCCTCTATGTGCATAACAAAGCTCTTACTGGTACACAGATACAAACCGAAGTCACCACCTCTAGGCATTTGTAATGAGGCTTAAACCAGGACGTGGAAAATGCACCACGTAAAACTTCACAGGTATTCTACAAGTAAAATATCAGGCTACGTTACCCCTTACTCCTCGTGTCCTCTTCAGACACTCTAATCTTCAATAATGCCTCCCCAAACTCTAAGACAACTAACTTCACTCCTTATGCCTCTATGTTTCTCTTTCTCACTTGGTATGCAGATCATGATAGCTGACCACACCAACACTCTGTGCACCGAGATACACTCCAAGCCCCCATTCAATATGCGAGGACTACACCTTCTACCACCTACGGATGCAAAATCACCGGTAGCCAGACCACAACCTCTCCTAAGTTCATAGCTACAATCGGGAGGGCAACTAGAAATGTTGGTGGTAAATGCCGTTTGCGTCTAAAGATACAAGTTCTTCCTCTCCTGACAACCATTCACTTGGAAACGAAGCTAACCGAAAGTGGTCCGGTAGGACGCGCCAACCTTGAAGTCTTACTGAATGGTTTGATGGTAAAACCTCTGATGTTCTCCCCCGTAATATGACAACAGCAGCAGGATGGAACTGCATCCCTGACTTCACGTATTCCAATGACTTTTCACAACACCACGGATCTAAACGATTGTTACGCCCTGCGTGACACCATGAAATACCAGACCAAAACTTTTCCCCACAGTCCGCTCCACCTTAGCCTGCTATCTGTAGACACTACAAACTTATGGAAAGCTGATATGTTTCCGGATTCATTTGTTCTCAACATTCGACATGCAATATACTTTTGTAGATTGCATTACTCACTAGTGCTTCTTATATTGAGAGGTTATACCCTCATTAGTTTCACCATGGATGTTTAACAATATCGCTTTTATCCAGCTTTTGTGATCAGCAATATTTAAACAATTATTTACTGCGGGAGACCTTGTATGACAAGATGATTGGTTTCTTTCTAAACTTTGACAGCTTCAAAAAGGAAATAACATCTGGATATTACCTATGAAAACGGCATGTGTTCGTGTACTTCATTATTCGAAACATATTATTGCTATTATTATTATCGCTACAAGGAATACGAGCGCACCACTTAGGTCCGGCCCAGCCGGATGGTTGCGGCTTGTAATACTCGAAGCCAGCAGGACCGCCACTCCCCCCGGCACTGTAAACATCCTGTCCCATTCAAGTAAACGCAGACCACCATGCTACACCCAGCACCTGTCCTGACCCACCATTGAAACTCGCTAGATGGAAATGTCAAAGAGTAAGACGGAAGCACTTGAAAACACCCTACTGTCACCCGCCCCGGTCATCAACAGACGTCCAGCACTAGGGCTATACCTCACCGATCATGGGTTTCAAGAAAGATATCTCGGGGAGCAGCTGATCTACTAAAACCCACAGCCACAGTCATGCGTGGAGTACCTGAACTGGTAGCCGGCGCCCCAGGTGACAAGCACGCCCATGACGTCCAACAGTGGGGGTGGTTATCACCTCAAAAGGACTAAGTGGGGTTGCAGCGGTGGCAGTCGGAAGACTGCCACGCCCCTCGCATCTGACAACCGCGACCCCACCTACACTAATGGCTATCAAATTCGAATCCCCAGGAGTTCTTACCAGAGTGCCGGAGACCTGGCGCAAAGTCAAAGGCACCATGAGCGGGAATGTTCGCCGCTTTGAGAGCAGACCGAGGACACTGCGGCAACAACAGACAGCACTACTTCCAGTACCCAGGCCACCATCATTCTACACCGACAAGTTGAGAGTCAGAGCAGCAACCTCCACCTAGCATCAACTGTAAAAATCGGCCGGGGAAAAACTTAGCTGAGCCAGTTTCATTGGAGCAGGCAGTCAACAGAGACCCTCGCATCCGAACCTGTACCACTAATTAACCCAGGGTTATCACACGTTACGAGGGGCATTTCCAAGTGTCTCCACAGTAACTTGAGAAGGCTCCAAAGTAAAATGTCAGAGCACCAATCCTTTTGTTCCGGCCCTGTCTAAAAATCATAATCCTGACGGAAATACGGCTATCACCGGACATGAGTGACACCAAACCTAACATAGATGACACGTTTCTGTTCCGGAGGGACAGCGAACACAAGGGTGGAGGGGGGGCTGTAATATACATGAACAGTTGGTTCAAAAGTAAACAAACCGCTGACACTGCAATGATGGGGCCCCCAGACTCTATCCGGTGCCACTTCAAGGTCAAACATACTAAATACCTGGTTGGAGGAATCTCTAGGTCTTCTGATAACAACTTGGAATGCAACCAAAAATTACTCTAAGTAATATCCAGCGTCGTCCATGAAGTATGGCCAGATCCCAACAGCCGGCGACTTCAACGCCCCAACTCTCGGCCTAGAGCAAGGTGGCACAACTCCGAGCCGGAAGCTCAATCGTAACCCATCAGTTGTCGCCCAATGGCTGGACTGTACCCACTGGGATCAGATGGCAAACCATCGTAACTGGACTACCTACTGAGCAGTAAACCTGACGGCTGAAGTAAGGCACCCAGCGCCTCCTAAAAGCCAAGAGAAAGGTGTGGCATGAGGGGAGACTCTCCAGAGAAGAAGACGATTGCGTCTGCAAGTAGCTCTGCGAAATCGATGCAACACCAGGGCGTGAGGGAACAGGAGGTCGTTCCTGTCCAACCTTGCCAAGAAGCTTGAGATAAACTCCAGAAATTTATACCAATTCATGGCAAAGAGAACGTTGACAAGGAAACGAGCATGCGTCATAAGAGGCTTGAAAGGAGAAAACCTCTCTGGACAGGAGATAACCAGAATGTTAGGCACCACATTTGACACGGCCCAACATTCGATCACCAAAGCACGCATTACTACCGAGCGAACAGCCCTCAACGCTACCCGATGCTGCAGAGTTACGCGAAGAACAGTTAAATCCACACTCTTCCCTATTACATCCCAGGGACAATTAGGAATACTTCGTTAATTAAGTTGTTCATCTATACCTCTCACTTATTACCACCACTACTAGAGACATCCTCAGATATGGCCCCTCAAAAGTGGCATTTCCAAAACACAGTGAATAGCATACTTTTAGTAAGAATATAAACATGAAACCTAGGGCTATACATTTAACAGTAGGCATGACACAATGTGCATAAGTTAAGATTTATATATAATTAACTTCCTTGTTCCTTGGTACCCCGCTCTCTGTTTTTTATTCTTATCGTAAATAGGATCTTGGAAACCTGCAATTAGATTGGAACTACGATATTTCATCGGTACGTTTCTTAAATATCACTGCATCCGTCTTCAAGCAACCCCTATGCAATCATGCGACCTGTTATGAACATCCTTATGGCATCACACGAAGATACTTCCAAGATGCCTTTTGACATTTATTAATCCACTGTTTCATTGACTGGCGCCGTTTCGTCCATTGCAGCTAAACGGATTCTTTCAATCGACCTCGAAACTCAAAGGAATGTGGCAAATATTCACCTAGCTACTAAGCACAATGCAGAGCAACATGGAGGCTACTGTGGACATATATCTAATTTAGCATGAAGAAACAGAAGTAGATCGTTTCATCAGGAAGGTGATATATTGTTATCAGTATTATTTATTGTTGTCTATACAGTATATCTTGACGTTTCAATGAACCCAGAGATGCATGTCCTTTGAAAAACATTGGATCTACCATAGTACTTCGCTCACTATACGTGATCCTTCAAAGATCTGGAACCGCTCCGCCAGACCAAAAAGCGAGCAAGAAGAAAGCAATTGGTTTGCACAAGCTCGTAAATCGGATATTAGATATTGAATCTCTCGGTTTGTTTTTGTTTTTGAATAGACGATGGAGTCATAGGAAAACTCTGCGTTATATTCAAAAGAAATAATGTCACGAAGTTCTTCTGAGGAAAGAATAAAGGCTCCGAAATGCCCATTCGAGGTGTACAGGTCCGAAGGTGATGCATTTCTGATAAAGAAAAAGTACTCTAAGGCCATCATGGCTTACAATCAGGTACACTTTAAAAGCACTTTCAATTACTTGAAGGCATTGGATAGGAAAGAAAATGATAGACATTGTCTGCTGAGGAGAGCTTCATGCTATCTTGCACTTGGAAATATAAGCATGGCACTGAGTGACACGGACATTGCGCTCGCAGAGGATCCAAGTTATTATAAGGTGAGTAAAGCCAGTGCTGGAATAAGTTCTGTTACAGACACTTTATATCAAAGCTCAAATTCTGTATTATAAAGGAGACTTTGAGCATGCATTAATGTACTTTCACCGTGGACAGCAGCAAAGGCCTGAGTTACAAATGTTCCGACTTGGTATTCAAAAATCTGAAGAAGCTATTGAAAATTCATTGACAGGTAAATGAAAGTGAATTTTCACACAGATTTACTTCAGTCTTGTTTAAAACCAGAATATGGTTTTACGTCACGAAAAAACTTCACTTCCATATTTTCCAGCTTCAGGTATAATATGGAGTCGATAACCACGTAGAACAAGAGACTGACAGGTTCTAATATCTATTCTGAAAAGGGGATATCAGAAGAAATTTTCATTTTTTCAGGCTATCAATAGCGTGTGACTTTTTCAGCTAGTTGCTTTGTAAGCTTACATCTCATAAAGGTCAAAAGGAGGCCTACTTCACAATTATACAAACGAAATGCTATGAAATATTCCTTGAAATAACTTATAGCCAAACCAAGAGTAGAAAATTCAACAGGAAAAATCACAGTTCACATATGTTCAAGAAGAATGTCAGTGTTATAGATGCAATACCCAATATTTAATTTATTCTTTAGTCTACCTGCCCAGTATACACAATGTAGTACAGTAACTGAAGTTCATATTTCAGTGGTCTTTGAAATATTACATTGGTGCTGGTGATATGAATTGACTAGTTTTTCGATGAACAAAAATGACTTTTGAAGCTTCCAGTCCCACTGATGACATGGAATGACGTCAGTAGCCCTGTATCCACCGTGACCACTGGTAAAGAATAATTTGATTTATTGAGGTTCCTTTAAGGTACAACCTGACGGTTTTTAATGGTTGAAGTAGAAAACCCAGATCCAATAACAAATAAGGCTGGAACAACATAGATTGACCTACAGTACTCATGTTTTATCTGCCTGCTACAACTTCATTGTTTCAAGGCAGTGAATTGTGGAAACATTTTGCATATGTGAGAGAAAAGTTGAGTGAATATTTTATTCCATACCCACCTGAGGTTTTCTACCCACGGTTTCTGGGGAGCGTAATTTCGCTAGTATTTTCTTTCCATTTTGTCCAAAATAACCCTGGAATAATAAACTTCTAAAATTTTAAACTGCTAGAGAAATACAATCAGATCTAGTTTAACTTAATACGTAAGACTGTAGATTTTGCTGTCAAAAAATTCATTGGTAAATTTGTATTATACATTTTAGATCCGCAATGCAAATGTCTAGAAAGTTCCGGTTTGGTCTTAGACCAGTGTAGATGCTTTCATTTATGTAGTTTGCTGTGCTTCTAGTATGCACTATATGACCTGAGTCTTGTTAAGATGATGGTTCGGAAAATTTACAAATTCTTTGGGTCTTAAAAGAAACGTTAAGTGTTTCATGACTGTGACCCATGAATTTTAGAAAGCTCATGGTAAATTTGAAATTTAAGGAAACCAATCGCAGTTATTTAGTATTGAGAAATAATGATAACAGAGATCAACCAAGAATGAAATCAACATATCCAAATACGTTTTGGAACAGAAAATATTCTGGATGAAGTATAGTTTCTTATAGTATATATTTGGCATTTCCGAGTGGAATACGTATCATGATATCCGCAGAATATTCAGAACAGGATCGTTGGTTACATACTTCTAACTACCAAAAAATGAAGACAAACAATGTTTAATTTCTTTTTGTGCTCCGAGACGACGTGCTTAGTTTGCTGTCAAGCATAGTGACATTTAGCTTTTGCTATACATATCAAAACGTTTCGAAACCCAAATGGCGATCTCAATCATCTACAGAAAACTCAGTATAGTCCATAAGGTTCGCTTCTTCGAAATGCCTAGACTTTGCCGGATAACAGATGTATGTCGTCAGTGTACTTTCATCAAGATAAATAATAAGCTAATTATGTACTAGCCATACATATGGTGGTTAAATAGTCATATGCAGTTGAAATAGTTAGACTCTGGGCAAATCTTTCTTGCTTTCTGAGAAAAGAAACTTGACTTGCTCGCAGTTTGGCTTTTTTTACTTGCAGATCATAAGAAGATTAAAATCGGAAGTGAGGGGGCGAAAGGTTTTTCTAAACAAATGGATGATGTAAGTTAACACCAGTTCTGCTTATTGTAATAAAAGTGAATCGAAACTAGTAGTAGTCAATGATAAATAGTGTATTCTGAGCTAGTTAATAAAGAGCAGCGTAGTTTAATTTTATTGCAACAGATCACTTATTACTCCTGTATTACCAGTAATGATGAAGAAGGCTAATCCTAAAACTGAACTAAGTGACGACTAAAAACACTGCTAAATATTTTATGTAATCAGAGATGATATTATAGCTTTCAGCAGTTGGGTAGTTAATCTACATTAGACCGACTGATATGTGATTTCTGTAACTGCAAACCTCCTCAAGCAGAATAAATGATGTGGCAGCATTTGAGGCAGAATATTATCTTGCGGAGATGAAGTGATGTAAGTTGGTCTTTTGATCTCACTTCGATAGTCAGAATTGATCGAAATAAAGGGCTTGTCTTATCAGTACCCAATTTAGAGAATAAACTAATATAAACCAGCTGGTTGACTTGCGGAGAATAGTCGATTTCAGAGCAGTTTAACCATCAGGGATATAAATCAGCTGAAGAAATACCGAATACCTGAAAGCATTTAACAGCTGTTATATTTTAATTTGGTCCCCTTTAACAATATATCTTCAGGAATTTCTGAAGCGTTAAACTCTGGATTGTCAGATCTCGTAGCCAAACGTTACTACTCAGTCACAGGTTTTAGACTCGGTGATCCACCCTTTCGTTTCTCTGATAATTTAAAAAACTGCATGACCGGATCGACGTAGTCTCCATTTTAGCACCAGGTAGTCTGATTGACGGGTCATTACTTGAACTTAGAGCCTTACAGTTAGTCACTGATAAAAATGAAGTCACCATTCAGTTAAATAGTTTCTGAAGAATTGATGGGTTTAACAGATGTGGATCAATAAGTATTTGATAAGTTTCACCAACAACCTTATCGTATGAATTTAATGTGGATTAACTTATAAGTTTCTTTATTATAGGAAGAAAGAGCTCAGGTAATGTATTTAACCTTAGATTTTGTTTATCTTTCATCATCTTCGCTATATTTTTACAGCGTGGTAGTTTTTGCTATTTGCATATTTAGTTTGGACTTGACAACTGATAAAACGTTCGTTTTTATGAAATGTAGTGGTATGTTTATTTTGAATGTAGTTTTCTTTTACTTGCCAATGACTGGATATGAATTGTAAGATTTTTTCTTGGGTTGAAAATAAAACATTTATTAGCATTAAATAATTCTTTACGATTACCGAAGACCCAAAAGTTCTGTTTGTACATTCTATATACAAAATTTAAATAATCTCTCCTGAAAATTCTTCAAATTACCTTTTACAACAGGATAATACTGTTAAATTGAAACATTCTGCTAATAAACGCTTGTAGTTGGATTAGAACTTTCAGTAATGAACAGCTCTAATGGGGGTACACTGTTCAGCCAGCTGTACGAAACTGGGTGCTTAGAGCAGTTCGGCTAGCCAAGTCATTTGAGTTAAGCAGAAAGAATTACTTTCTGAACACAGCAAATGGTTGTCTGTCGCCTATTCAGATTAAAAAATAATTAGAGCTGATTAAAGTAATGGAACATCCAAACATTCAGATCAATCGGCATCAAAATTCATATACCAGTCTATCTGCATTCGTATTGGGAGTACTATCATAAGACTGAGACGTTTTTGAATCAAAATATTTGGATTTTCAAAAAAGGCAGCTTTTGTCTTAATCCGTAGGTGTTGCAACTACCTGACTGGATAAAAAATAATGTAAGGAAGTTATGTATGTTTTTTAATTTTAGTTTTAAGTGGTAGATGAAATATACGCAGTTGTGGTAGCGATTCTTAGTCTTTAAGAAGATTCAGTAATCTGTATTCTTGCCGGACTTTAACCTCCCAAGCAACCTGTTCTACAAGAATGATAAGTTTTGGTACTTTCCGCTGTTATTCTTTCAGCTGCAGTACTTTTATAAGTCATTTCTTCACGAAACACATGCCGCATGTCTGTGGTGTCTGAGTCTGACTTGTGACAAACACTACAGGACCACTACCACATATTTGATAGCATTCTTTTCCAAAATGTTTGTATTGTTCATTCTTGTAGTTTGTGACTATTTTAGATAGTTTTGGTAAGCTATATGCTGTATATCCGTTACTGCTACTGTTGCTGAAAGTTTCTATCATGGTTGACTTTGGAACTGTTGAAGTTGTAAGTGGGCGTCTTCCGACAAAGTAACTAGGCAACCAGTTACAATTGATGTAATACTGCAGTCTTCCACATTTCAGAATGTGATAAACCTTGAATATGAGTTATGGTAGGAATAAATCTCACAGTTCAAATCATCCGCAATATAATCGAACCTCATAAAAAGCACTTTGACGAAAGACTGAGCTTCAACTGTGAATAAAGATAAGGGCCTCATTTTCTTCTGATTGTTTCAGAAAGCAAAATCACGCCAAGCAGCTCAAAAGGCAAGGAAAGGTACTACTGACACTACTACTGCAGATGGAGACCAAAGTAGTCCAAATATTCCTGTCAGTTTAATTCCAAAACATATGTCCAAAGTTATGTTTGGTCCATTATATACAGATCACGAATATCTAGAGGAACTGTTAAGGCAAGAAGGTAAGTTGAATTTTTAATTTAGATTACCATGAACATATAAAACTATTTTATATCGTTAAGTGTTGAGAAAATGCCATTTTTGGTCTTGTGTCTTGATGGCGCATATTCTGAGGACATCTAAACTGCCTGTAACAAACGGCTCAATTGTACGTGATCAATTTTTGATTTATAGGTTCCATTAGAAACTAAATTTCGCTATCCCAAATCTTAGACAACCGAAGCTTAAGGTATTCTATTGTCATTTGTCAGTTACCGATTTTCAGAACAGAAAAGATTAAAACAGTGATTAAGTTTCTTCCGCAAATCACTGTTGAAGCACAAAAATTAGATTAAATATTCTACCTGATGATTTTATTTAAATTCGAGAGCACAAAGTGTCAAGTATGTTAGGTGCATAAGAACATAACCTGCTTTGACTACATCAGTATCACCATGGTTGCTTTCATTCACTCATCAGTGAACAAGATCAATAAATGAATATTGTTTTATTGGTACAGACTTGTTCTGAGTATGTAAAATGGTTAGATAAAAATTTTGCTCAGATCACATCTAAAGGACTCATATTTTATTCTTGTTATGGCTTCTTATACTCAGGTGACGCGTTTTAACCACATTCTGTATATTCTGGAAAGTACCGGCTATTTAGTAAAAATGTGTTGACTGTGAATACTTCGTTTGTCATTTCTTCATAATTCCATGGAATATACAAACGTACCTTTGAAATACAATGACAGACGCATCAATTTTTATACCTTCACCAGAATCCTGATAGTTCTGATCAACTATTCTTATTCCCCTAATATAATTTTCTGATTATTTTTGACTTTTCTCACCTCTTTATTTTCTGACTTCTTGAGCTCACATTCTGTGTCCTGATATGCGGTGTGACAACCGAAGTCAATATGTGATTTATTGGGATTCTACGTTTCTTATCTTTGTTTCGCTTGTATGGTCTAAAGAACGAGGCCGTCTTAAACACAGTCACTGAAATTTATAGTTTCCTTACCCCTTTGATACATTACCTGGAGTTTTTCTTTCTTTTTCTAGTTAGTATAAAAGTAATGATTGTGCCTCAGTTTATATAAAAATCGGGTTTCCACAATATTAAGCATTTTATGACTACAGGAAGTGTTTCACTTTTTAATTTATCATTTTGAACGAGAAAAACTGCCACAGCGAACTTAAAATACTGACCGACCGACTGATAAAATCAACGTAGAACATTGCACAGGAGCGTATCGGCTCAGGTTGCTACACTCCACAGAAGTACCTAAAAACAGGTGCATAGAAAAGGAGTGATATCAGGGTAGATAAAGTAGTGTGAGAGAGTAAATAATCTGAAGATAAAGGTTAATAAGAATACTTAAAATATAGATGTCAAGGAGTGAATACTTCTGCACCCATGTGACCGATTTCCAGCCATGTCACCAAGTGTGCTCAACCACTGATTCCTTTTATCTCGGAGATCCCAACCGGGCAGTCTGTATCTCCCCACACGCCTCAAGCAGACAGTTAGGGACCGAATTGACTGTTGCCATGTCTTGGTCTCGCCTTCAACCTTTTTCCATCCTAATGTAACTTCTCATAGCATGCCAAGTGGAGGTAGGTGGTGGCACGCATGCACAGTGCATGTCCAAGCTATCTCAGTCGACTAACCTTCACAACCTTGCCAATCGACTTTTCTGTCTTGCCCAGCATCTTTCACATGACCTCAACATTTCTCATGCAGTGATATCAATAAACGCAAGTAATGCTACTAAGACATGTGTGATCAAAAATCTGTAACTTTTTTATGTCTCCTACTTCTAACGGCCATGTCTCACAGCCATACAACAGGAGAGAACAGACTGCAGTGCAGTATACTCTTCTTTTGAAAGATAACCTGGTATCTCACCGATGTCAAAGGTGACGCAAATTGGCAATCGCCAAACAGGCCTTACGTATCTTAGCTGAGATTTCGTCTGGAACAAGCCCATTCGAGCTGATGCAGCTCCCCAAATAAGTAAGATGGTCAACATATTCCACCACTTGACTCCCTACCTAACGTCGACGTGCAGAGAAATCTTGTAACAACAAAATATTTGTTATTGATTTCAAAGGATGATATTAAAATACTTAAGTTTAAGCAGTTTTGTCCATTTACTGTCAACTAGTTGGAAAGTAAGTAACCAAGAGTTAAGTATATATAAAATACTGGTTTATCAGATAAGAAAGTAGAAGCGCTGTGATTTCCCCAAGAATGAAGACGAAGACCTATCAAATAAAGTCACAGACTTCTTCACAAACAATCTCTAATAGGAGTAAAGAGGCATTACGTCCATAATTCATACTCTTTTAACTAGTTGGTTAACATATGAAACGGTTGTCGATAAAAATCACAGACGAAACCATAGAAGAAATAATAGCGTGATTTGCCGAAGATGTATAAACTGTCCTTAAAAAGGAGTGAACAATAATCCTGTTTAAGTGAACGATACAAATAGTTACTTAGAGGAGAAGTGAGACTGCAGAAAGGGAGCATCAGTCATTCATTTTACTGTTTCGTTATTCAGAAAAATAATGTGTTGTAAAACATATAATGACTTTCACATTATTATCAGTAAAGAGAAAGGATTAAATCATTGTTTATTTACACTGTTTATTCTGTTAAAAATTCGGCTATTTAGTTACTAGTATTATCATTACTTATTGCTTCATAACAAAGTTTAACTAGTTACAAAACAATATCAGATTATCCTAAAGGAGAGATAATCTAAATGTTCAATAAAGGATGATGGTTGAAAGTACGTTCATCATAAGTGAATATACAACTCTGAAGGAAGTACAAATGTTGTATAGGTTGAACATATATTTAAGAGTGAATACGAATGTCCCATTAACCTGGATTGAACATTGTTAAATACCCTTAAGTATTCAAGTTTATACAAAGTTCATTTCTAAATTAATATTTACGGTTACGATTATTGTTTTCGTTTTGGTCTGTTTATATGAAACGTCACAAAATGAAGCAGTATCATTTACTGGATAACGTTTCGTACACAATTTAGTGTCCATATACATATCAGGTAACTCCACAAATTCGAGACAAAGCTTATGTAGTAATGATGGATCGTGGCTAGCAGTGGAATCCAGTGGATTCCTTATCGAACCAACAGCAAATATATGTAATAGAAAGTGAAAAAAGCGGGATTTAATGAATTCATAAATTCCAGTAGTACTCATCAGCTGGATACTCTACACACCTGATTATATATATCGTTAAACAATGCAAAAGAACATACATGCATATATAACGTGGACTGAGACAAATTTAGGTGGGACAACATAGAAGTGAACAGTTTTTACGAGTCGAATGATACTGCGAAGGATAGAAATGCATATTCAAATTTGAATGCATTGGAGATAGGTTAGTTATTACGATAACAATAATAATGTTGACACAGGGGTGAGAACTGATTCTATTGAGCGTCGATTACGTCATTGAAAACAAGATAGTTAATAGCACTTATGCAGACATAATAAGAAAGCCAGGTGTATACTGAGATGAATAATAATGATAACAATGGAAATAGGAAACAAATCAGAGAAGGAAAACAAAATTTCGGATGGGTTATAGTTAAGAGCAAGTAAGAAAGGTTAAATATGACTAGACGATGTTCTAATTCTTACCATGGCAGATTCAAGCTGAGTAGCATTTCGTTCTGAATCCAGAGGTTTGGTGTGACAACTCGAATCCAGCAGGCTTCTGGATATCCAAGCAACTTCTTATTTTACTGTCTGCTGATAACCGTAGGGGACTTACAGGTATCAATATCATGTCCATAGTCAATCAGGTGTTTCGTTATCGAGCTCCTCTGAGTCTTCTTCTGGGCATGCTTCAACCATTTGGGTAGGTGCTCAACAATTCAAGTGAATAGAATCCTCTCTGTATGACCAATATATTTACTTCTGCAGGTACATTCGAATCGATATAAGGATTTAGATGTGTCAGGGATCAGAACCCTATCTTTCCCTAATTGTTGCAGTACCCTTTTGGTGTTGCCGATGAGAACGAGTTTAGCAGCTTGGTAGGTCCTTCTGATAGACTTCTCCAGTCTTCGTCCAACTACTAGCACGTCATCACCTTTGAATGGTAAAGTGATATAGACTGGTTCCTTCTGTACTGTTGGGGACGTTGCTCTGCCCCCTACCCGTTTTGCGTGCTTGTTGATAAAACTTTATGGGTACGCATTCTCCACTAGCACGTTTTCGGAGTCACCATTTCATAGTCTAGTGTGCTGTCGGAACAAGTTTTCCTGGCTCTTTTAAACAGCGTTCTAACTGTATTCACTTTGTATTGGATCAGGAAAAAGCTTCTAAAATGAAGATACAATCTTGACGATGAAGGTTTCCTATACATGGACCTTTCGATAGATCCATCTATTCTTCTCACTAATGAGACATCTAAGAAACTAATCATATTATTTTCTTTGTGATCAGTCGTAAAGGTGAGGTTTGGGCGACATGAATTAAAGGTCTTTAGTGGTGCTTCTGTCTCTGCTTCGCTATTGCATACAAAAAATATGTCGTTCATATAGCGCTGGCACAGTTCCATCTGATCAGTTAGGCGCTTCAAGCTACTATTTTCCAGACTTGATAAAAATAAATCAGCGAAGAGGGGACCCGGAGGGCTTTCCATTACAACTTCATTTCGGCGGAATAGCTGTCCGTTGAGAACTGGAAATGAATGTTCTTGGTGCATAGATTTAGAAGCTTCCCCACTCGTTTAATGGGATAGGGATATTACCAGCTTCTTGACAGATAAACTCAATGGTTTCATCAACTGGTACAGACGTGAAGAGAGATATAACATCAAATAAAACAAGATGTTTACCAGTGCTATTGAAATCTGAGAGGTTTCAAACAAATTTTAAGGTATCAGAAACAGCGAGTTCTCCCAGACATTTGCATAATGGTTCAAGAATTTCGCATAACCACTGAGTTACTTTGTGACAGGTTGA